GCCCCCCGGCCCGCCGGCCCGCAAGCCCCCAACCCCAGCCCGCTGGCCCTCGCCCAACTCGCTCGCCGCGTCGTCTCCCGCCGGCGGGAAGCGAGGCCGCGCGACGTGTGTGTTGGGGGAGGAGTGGGGAAGGGTGCGTCTCTCCCAGCTAGAAGGCGGAATTCTTGGGCCCAAGGCATGGTGTGCTCGGTGAAATTTGGTCAACGAATAAATAAAATTTTTAAGTAAAAAAAAAAAAAAAAAGCAAAAAGCAAACATCTACCAGGAGTGGGGTTCGAACCCACGCGGACATTGTCCATTGGATCTTAAGTCCAACGCCTTAACCACTCGGCCATCCTGGTTCAGGCGAACGGTCTGCTTTTCACTCTTCCTACAAGCTGTATTCCATCGTCCTCGCACCCTCCCTCAAGAATTTCTGAGGATCCTTCGCTGCCGCTTTCCCGGTTTTCCCATCCGGAGCTGGAGCGACCTCCCCGCCAGAGCCTCCGTTTTCCGCCGCCGCCACCGCCGCCGCCGCCGCAGCTCACTGTTGCCCCCGGCCCGGCGCGGCAGCGAGGGCAACTGCAGCCGAGTTCGGCGCGCTGCTGGCGGCGGCGCTCGGCTGCTCGCTCCGGGGGGAACTCGGGCGCAGCCCGTTGTGCTTTCGGTTTCGAGGGGCGCGGGCGCGGGAAACAAACACACTCGTAAACTTCGGGATTCCTCCGGCACGTTTTGGAGGCGCGCGGGAATGGGGGCGCAGGGACGGAGCCCCGAGGGTGGGCTTTGGTTGGTTTTATTCTGAATAGAATAAACTTCAAGGAATTAGTGGCACGGGCAGCAGCACCGCTTTTCTTCCTCACAACTCACACAGGAAGGAAGTTTGTAGAAATTCGTGTCTGTACCGCGCCACGCCACATGCAGGGAGTGTGGTACAAGTGGCCCTCCCGCTGGCTGCGGGCACCACACCTGCTGGCTGCACGGCCTCAGGGGCAGCGAGGGCCTTGTTCCCACGACCCACTTGCGCACTTGGAAGTTTGGGTTCTCTTCATGGTTCTGCAATGCTCTCCCTCCATTCTGTGCACAGGAGATTCCGTTTGTCCTGTCACCTCCTTTCCCAGGACTGCCACTGCGTTCCCCACCACCCGGGACCTCGAACCTACCACAGAGCCAAGGCTCAGGTGTTCCGCAGTCGGGGAGCCGGGGGCCTGAGCGCAATCCGGCGGCCACGCCCTGGTTCCTACAGCGTAGGCGGCTGCCTTTGACCAAGAACTTCTATCATCCGGGAGACTTCACAGTTTCACCTTACTGTGTGGGACCTCACCGACTGGCTCGTCACCCGCTGGGTCACATGGTAAGAAACCCACGGCCCTGCTACCTCCTCGAACTTCTGTGACCCCCGGGCATATTGCCCTGACCTGGGGAGGCTGTCACTCAGCCTCTGAGTTCCAGCTAAGAACATGGACGGCCCCTCTTCCGGGCAACAGCCGGTGGAATTGCCCCTACTCACTTGGCCACCTAACACTGTGAGGTGTACCTCACAATGGGGCGTGCGTCTGCGTCCCAGCCTCAACCGTATCCCCTCTACTGAGCGCGAGGCCTGGCCCACCCGAGCACGCCGACCAGAGCATTAGCCTGGCCGGCTCTGCCGAGAAAAGAAGGGGAACTTAGATTTTGCGGGGGTCTAGAGACATCCATGGGGTGATGACACAGGATCACCCCCTCCTACTGCCATCTCCATCTTACCGCACCAAATCGTCAAGAAGCATCAGATTTCATAAAATTGGGCTTTCAGAGTACTTAAAATGGTAATAATAAAAGAATGTACTAAGTACTCACTATGTGGCAGTCATTGCTCTAAGCTCTTTACATATATTATCTAATCTGATTTTTTTTAACAAGCCTGTATAGCAAGTGTTTATATCACCATGTTCAGGTTTAAGAAGCCCAGTTACAAACTCACCCAAATATAAGAAGATGCCTCCTAGACATGCTCCCTGCACCTCAAGGCCATTACAGACCTTCCCCACCATCCAGCCATCAAATCCTCCATGATCTTCTGGAACACGGCAATATACTATCTGAAAGATAGTTTTATTTAACCCCAGACTTAGCCTCCAAAAAGCCTCTGGTATAAACCAGTTCTGAACAACCCTGACACACCATAGGGTACCCAAGTTCCTCTTCGGCGGCCTTGAGATGTATTAAATTTCTTTGGCCGCTGTTTAAGGATGGGCAGGAACACAGATTAGTCTAGTCAGAGATGCAGGTAACTGAGCTATTGCAGAAGAGAAAATTTTCGTCTGCTGAGTGGCAGACTATATTTTTCCCAAGAGGACCACAACAATATCTCCCACCCCACGTGTGACTTCATCTTCCTCCACTGTGATTTCGACACCCATACTGTCAAAACATAGAGTCTGTGTTCTTCCTCACTGAACTTGGGAAGCCTTGGGTCTGTGGCAGAGGGGCGCTCTGTGACTTCTGAGGTCATTCACCTTGTTCTCTTGGGATTCTTGCTCTGGGAACCCAGCCACCAAACCGTGACAAAGCCCAAGTAGCCACATGTACTTTTACCAGCCAACAGCCCCAACCAACAGTCAATATTAATTGCTGCAAATATAAGTGAATGAGCCTTCAGTTGAATCTAGCACATCACCATCAAGGGACCCAGCTGTTGAATCTTTCCAGCTAAGTCCCCAGATCATGGAACAGGGACAAGCTACAGTATCCTTTTCCAATTTCTAACTCACAGACTCTATGGGCAGAATAAAAATGTTATATATATATATTTTTTGTGCCACTAAGTTTTTGTTTGTTTTTTTAATGAAACAGTAGTTAATGAAAACTCTGAGACTGATATACTGGGATAGTGTAGTGGAGTTCCGCAGTCGGGGAGTGGAATGTTACATAGAAATAGGCTCTCTGATACGAAAGCCAGCACGGGAAAGCAGCATCTTGAGATGAAGAGTCCAAGTGTGAGTCCATCACTGGAGTTCTTTCCCTCCTCCTTATTGGCAACCTGATCCTGGGTGATGCTGCCCTTTTCCAAATTGACATCCTTCCTGGGATGTCAATTGGGTAGAGGAACACAAGTTGTATCCGGAGGTCCCAGCCACAGGAAGGTTAGGAAGCAAAGTCCTGGCTTTTCTACCTTAGGAAGCAGGCATTCCCCAAACATCAGAAGGGTGTTCAGAAAATGCTGGCAACTGCAAGGCATGACAAATATCCACTTGAGTGTTGGAACAAAATGTGAAAAGCACTATGCAGTGACATTTGTTATAACTGACAATATTAGGAAGCAAGTGACAATATTAAGACAAATTCTGCAACATTGAAATGGCTTCACATTCAGGAAATTGCATTTGACATACTTCTTATGGGCAAATGTTTTACTCTAAAGTATTTTTCACTGTGCATGTGTGTTTATTTAAGCCATGATATTCTTTATGCATTTTTTTTGGTGATTTAAAAATGTGTTCACAAATGCTTTGACAGTCCTCCCTTTAAGAGATGGAGCTTCCCTTGCAATGTGGGCTGAATCCAACGACTCATTTCTAACGAATAGAATAAAACAGAAGAGGTGATATACAACCTCAGAGACTAGGTTATCAATGCTGCTAATGTCTTGGTTTCTCTCCCTTGGATCTTTTCCTCCGGCAGAAACGAACAGTCATTTCATGAGCAGCCCTTTGAGAGGCCCATGTGGTGAAGAGCACCCAGCAAGGAACCGAGGTCCCGGATGAGCAAACTTGGTAATGGATCCTCCTGCCCAGTCGAACCTTCTGATAACTGTAGCCAACATCTTGACTACAACCTTATAAGAGACCCTGAACCGGAACCACCAGCCAAGCTCTGATTTCCTGACCCTCAGAAACTATGTAAGATAATAATAAATATTATTTATTTATTTAAATGAATTATTAGCTGCTAAGTTTTATGTTATTTTTATGCAGCTATAGATGACTAATACACATACCAGCTAGTTTTTCTAGCGTGGATGATATATTCATGAGCATATATTTTGTTTTCACATATATATTTTAAAAGAATAATCTTGCTGACCCCTTTGCAAACATCCAATGTTCCTTTTCCCATTTGCTCTTCAACTCTTGAATGGATTACCCATTTACTTTCAGTTTTTCCCCCAGAATCCTCTGATGTGTGGCTTCTACACTGACTTCTCTCTCTCTTTATTTTTTCAGAATGGAAATATCTTTCCTAAAACAGATTCACATTAAAAGTTAAAGTAGCATGAGTTACCCCTTTCCACCACCCCTGAAATCCCAGTTATACAAGTTGGGAACCGCTTGTCCCTTGAAGATACTAAGCCATTTTCTGTCTCTCCTCTGCCTTTCCCATGCTGCTTTTTTTTTCTCATTTTTTTAAAATTTAAATTCAACTAGCCAACACATACATCATTAGTTTCAGGTGTAATGTTCAATGATTCATCAGTTGCGTATAACACCCAGTGCTCATCACATCGTATGCCCTCCCTAATGTCCATCACCCAGTTACCCCATCCCTCCACGAACCCTCAGTTCGTTTCCTAGAGTTAAGAGTCTCTCATGGTTGTCTCTCTGATTTCTTCCCATTCAGTTTTCCTTCCCTTCCCCTATGATCCTCTGCGCTGTTTCTTATGTTCCACATATAAGTGAATAATCTCATGAATCAATTTCTGACTGACTTATTTCACTCAGCATAATGCTCTCCAGTTCCATCCATGTCGATGTAAATGGTAAATATTTATCCTTTCTGATGGCTGAGTAATATTCCATTGTATATATGAACCGCATCTTCTTTATCCGTTCATCTGTCGATGTCCCATGCTGCTTTTATCCACCTAATTCTCCTCCAAGACTCCACATAAATCCTCCTTTCCCACCGCACATCTAATTGTAAAGTGAAATGAGTAAGTATAAGTTAGACTTTCCTGAAAATATGAGTGTACAAAACTCGGGAAGTTCCAAATTACACTTTTAGAAGCATCTTTCTCACTCTGCCGGATCTTGTTTATCATAATAAAAATTAAGCTATGTCGTATCATTAAGAATATATTATTCTTGGTGACAGGATTTTCTGTTTAAGTACTCGTAGATTTAAATTTTTGTATCAAATCTTGTGAGATATAGTACACGTGTATCCTCTATAGTAAGCAGCATATAAATCAGCCTTTTTGTCTGAAATCAAGGGCTGTCATTTATGACAGCAACAATTTCTCTGAGCTCTAGCTAAAACAAGAGGCAGCAGGAGATCGTAACGTAAGGGTACTGTTTAGACTGTGGAATCATAGACCTAGTTCCAATTCCAAATTTTTCCTAGCTGTGTGAGTAAAATACTCAACCTCCTCAAGTCTCAGTTTCCTCACCTGTAAAATGAGAATAATAATGTCTACTTCGGAGAAAATGTGAGAATTCAGTGAATTAATGTATGCAAAATATCTAGCTGGGTGGTTGGCTGGAGGTAGGCTCCTGTTGGGGTGATAGTCAATATCTGTTACTTTTTTTAAAAAAAGATTTTATTTATTATTTATTTCAGAGAAGGTGGGGGAGGGACAGAGGAAGAAGGAGAGAGAATCTCAAGCAGACTCAAGCTGAGCTCCGAGGCTGATGCTGGTGATCCCACGACCCTGAGATCATGACATGAGCCGAAATCAAGAATCTGACATTCAACCCACTGGGCCACCCAGGTGCCTCCAATATTTGTTACTTTTTGAACAGCCATTCCTGTTTTGATTTCAGGCAAGGTAGCTGCCTCTCCCTGTCCCAGGGGACAAATTATTATTGGTCTAAGGTGATTATCATGTCATCCATTATGCCAATAATGAGTTTGGGCAGGAATAAGTGATCCAGTTCTGGCCAATGAGAGATAAGGAAAGTTGGGTGGGGGTTCTGAAAAAGATGTTCGTTCTGGATAAAAAAACAAAGCCTAGGGAAGTGAAAAGCTTGTACTATTCCTTCCTTTTTTCTCCTTGCCTTCAGTGAGATGGTGTGAAGGTGAAATTATTGGAGCTGTGTTAGCCATCCTGTGACCATGAGGGGACAAGCCTAGGGATAATCAGCTAATGCCCAAAGGTGTCAGAAGGGTAAATTAGAGAGAGACCTTGCCCTTAAAGACCTTAGTGAGCCACGGCCAACCAGAAACCACACACCTCCAATCTGCTTCTTATTCAAGCAAATGAACATGTCTTTAAATAGAAGCCAGTGGCTCTCGGAGTGACAGGAACACCTGGGAATTTGTTGGAAATGCAAATTCTCGAGCCTCACCCCAACTTCTTGAATGCACACTTGGGTTGGGTGATCTGAGGCAGAACCAGGTTTTAGAGTCTCCGTTATCACAGTAGGGTTTCTGCCAAAGCATTCCTGACCCAAAGCATTCCCGAGGGCCCCTACAGTACATGTGGAATGCATGAAGGGCTCCACAGTATTCCTGCAAAGGCGCTTCCTCAATGGATTCCCCACCTTTGGCTTGATTTCTTAACACTTACCTCTTTCTCTTGGGTATACTTGTTGTCTTCTTGTATTTAAAGAGGCATATCAATTGTTGTGTGGAACCCTGAAACTGCCTCCTCCTAAGGTGTGCCTTGTCCTGAAGAGAATCTTTACTTTGACTTTACCAGAAGTCTTTCACTTCCTAGCATCATTCTAACACCCTTTTATTTCAACATCACTTGAATGCTTCAAAGTCCAGGTTACTTTTAAACCCATTTTTTTCTTTTCTTTTCTTTTATCTTCTTTTATTTTATTTTCTATTGAAGTATAATTAACATGCAGTGATACTAGTTTCAGGCATACAATATAATGATTCAACAATTCTGTACATTACTCAGTGCTCAAGATAAGTGTACTCTTGATCTCCTTCACCTATGTCACCCATCCCCCAACCCACCTCCCCTCTGGCCACCACCAGTTTGTTCTCCATACTTAGGAGTCTGTTTTTTCGTTTGTCTCTTTTTTAATTTCTTTGTTCATTTGTTTGTTTCTTAAATTCCACATATGAGTGAAATCGTATGGTATTTGTCTATCTCTGTCTGACTTATTTCACTTAGCATTATACCCTCTAGATCCATCCATGTTGTTACAAATGGCAAGATCTCATTCTCTTTAATGGCTGAGTCATATTCCATTGTGTCTATATACCGCATCTTTATCCATTCATCTATGGGTTGCTCTTATATCTTGGCTATTGTAAGTCATGCTGCAATAAACATAAGGGTGTGTATATAACTTCAAATTAGTGTTTTCCTATTCTTTGGGTGACTACCCAGTAGTGAAATTACTGGATCATAGGGCAGTTCTATTTTTAATTTTTTGAGGAAACTCCATCCTGTTTTCCACAGTG